TTTGAGGACCCCTGGTCTAACAACTGAGAAGCCTAATTTGCTTTGCATGAATACTAGTGGATATTTACCATTAAGGAGAAGATTCACTCAAATGAGTATTTAAGTCTTCTCAGGAAGATCATGCTTTACAAAAGGGCTATGACTATTCCTAATAGTGTAAATGCCATTTAATCTCCAAAAGGGTTGTGCTTCTAAAAGGCTATGGAGATTTCTGGTTTTCCCAAAAGGTTATGATGTCTAAAAGATCATGCCTTTCCCAAGGGCCATCCACTTCAACCCCACATTTTGTCATGCAGGAACATACAACCAAAGCACTCCTGACAGATGGCTATCATGCCTTTGTGTAGAAGGAGATTCTACCACGTATTCCACTGTTAAGCAGCTTTTACCATAAGATTTTTTTTGCCTAATGTTTAGGTGGGATTTCTTTTTGTGCAGTTTGAATCTATTTCTCCTTTTGGGGCAGCAGAAAGCAAACATGCTCCCTCCTCAATGTGACAGCCTTTCAATTATTTCCCTGTCAATACTATATTATTGTATTTTATCTCTGTTGCAATGCAAAATAATTTCAAGCAGTTTGGACTTGAAAGGGAGGTTAAGGTTTCACTGGCTTTGTATAAGAAAGCTGCCCAGACACTTTCTTCATAAGGATGAACACGGCTCTACATCTTTTCAACCTTTAGCAGTCAGATGTTGCCACAAACGTGCTGGCTATGCATCAGAGTAAAAGACAACCCATTTAAGAGCATTGTGAGAGAGGAAGGATTAAGAACAGAACAAGCAGCTGAAATATCCCTCGCTTGATATAAACCAATCAAGAGGAAAAACAAGGGCAAGTTAACCCTTGAGCACTGTAGCCATCTTGAAACAAGCTTATATAAAATAAGTGACATTTCCCAGAGATAGAGGACTGAGACAGGGCTGAAGAGCCGGTGGCTATGGAGAGGATAAAAAAAATGAGTGCCTCTGTATTGCATCTTGTACAAGAAGCGAGGCAAGGATCTTCAGTGGATTTTTCCTACAATTAGGAGATTTCAAGAAGGAAAAAAACTGGAGGGGAAGGGAGCAGCCCAACCTTTCTTTGTAGAAACATGTATCAATTAACAAAGTAGATATTCTGGGCATTATTTTTTGAATAGAGAATTTGTTTTCAGAGGCAGAAAGCCACTAAGTCCCTTTTGGGGTGAGAAGGGCGGCATATAAATGTCGTACATCTATATATTTATATATATACCTATTATATCATAAAAGTCAATGTTTATGTGTGTGCACCGGTGTATGTTTGTGTCAGCCTTCTGATTGGCTGACACTTCCACAGGCCACTGTGACCCCATGAATGACGGACCTGAACCAAACTTGGCACCCAGAACCCCCATGACCCACCGCATGTTCTGGTGATGTTTGGGGGATGACGGATCATGGATAATGGGATTTGCTGTACCTTCACCCGATGCAACTCCCACAGAGCACTATGACTCCCACCAATGACAAATCAGGACCAAACCTGGCACACAGAGCCCCCATGACCCACTCTATGTCCTGGTGCAGTTTGTGGGACGGCGGACCATGGACCATAGGACTTGCAGTATCTTCACTCACTTCCTGAGACCACTGCAACCCACATCAATGACTGATCAAGACCAAACTTGGCACACAGACCTACTGTCCATCCTGGTGCAGCTTAGGAGGATGGACCATGGACGTTGGAACTTGCATATGGGAGTTGTAAATCATCCGTGTCTACTGAACCCAGAAGACATTGAATCTAGACTAAACTTGGACCACAGACAAACAATGCCTTTCTCAAATAACTCGGGCATCACCGGGCCCCCAAACTAGTAAATAAATAAATAATACCATGGAAAGAATACAGAAAGGTCCCTACAACACAAATAAGAGCTGTTCAACATGTTCCAGCAAGCATTTTATTCAAAATCATCACTACACACATGAAATGAAAACTCAAAGTCAGGTAAGCCTTGAACAACTTGTAGAGAGTGCTTGAAGTGCATCCTGGGATTATTCTATTCATCAGGCACCACTGTTATGATTTCCATTTTGGCTCCTTCTTTGAAGGTGTTTAAACAGAGGTTGGATGGGTACCTGTCAGGGGTGCTTTGAATGCGACTTTTCAGCTTCTTGGCAGAATGGGGTTAGACTGGATGGTCCACAAGGTCTCTTCCAACCCTGATTCTATGACAACCCACCCTCAGCATCTTCGTGCCAATGCTGCCAAGAAACCTCCAGGAAGACAAATAATATGGAAGTAAAGGGGAACTGGGCAGGCATAATCACATTTTAAAAATGACATTCAGAAAGACATTCTTGACTTAGCGATGCCTGTATTTGATTCACAATGACAGCATTCGAGACTGCTTTTGTTCTGTAACTTGAAATAGTTTTTTAAAAACTTTCTATACTCTTCTTCTTCTTAATAGCAGTACACTTCCAAACTAAGTGTTATGTCAGAAGTGTGAGTTTTCACAGCATCTGTATTAAAACAGCAAAAGCAAATCAGTTGCACCAAGCCTCCAAAACAGGACTTGTGTGCATGCTAGATACAGCTGCAATGCCCCTTCCTACAGCAGTTTTAACTAAACTGATGCATTCAGCCTCAGTGTCTCTTTGCCCTGAGAACGGAAATGGCTCTTGGCATGGATAGCCACTTCCTTCCTTCTGCTTACAGCGCAGTCCCAGTCCTGACCAGGGGCCCTGTCAGCCACAGAAGGACAAACCAGTTCAGGTCTGTGGCACACAACACTGTTTTGTTTCCACTTTTACAGACAACATTTATGTCAAGCAGGATATTTTTCAAACGATAGCCAAAGTAAAAGAGAAATGGGAAGAAGAATTACTACAACAATTTAACCCTAATCCCTTGATGTATGTCTCTCTCGGGAAATGCACCTTTGAATCCGCTTAAACACGGATGAGGGATGCTGAAAGCTGCAGTTTAAAACACCTGGAAAACCACATTATTTTCCTATCTAAGGTGTATAGCAGAAGATTTGGCTAGGGAAAAAAACAGAACATATCTAGGGGATTTTTAGAGATGATTTTGTGTGTTGTTGTTTTTTTTTCATTTGGGAGGGGGCGATGTTATGTGCTCACTGAAATTGAAAATGTAATTATAAATATTACACTATGGAACACAATTTTTGTTCCTGGGTTAAAAATGCCATTTCCTAATTAATTCTATCATAAAAACATGGAAAAGATTTATTAAACTACAAAAAAAAATCTTTTTGCAGAACAGCCTGCAGTACATTTTACTGCAGTTTTTCAATGACTATCTCATTGAGTCTCAACCAACTGAACATAGTTTGTGGCAACCACAGAAAGTTTCTGGAGTATAACAATTACTTTCAAAGTGGGTACCACACAATAAAACAGGAAAGAACACTTTCAAAACGGGGGGGGGGAATCAAATTTTGATATGTAACGTTATTTGATTGAGATGCTCAATTTCTGAAGATTTATTTCCAAATTCACTTTGTGGTTCTGAACATATTATTATTATTATTATTATTATTATTATTATTATTATTATTCTGACACTAAAACACAATATGTCACAGCAAACAAGATATATATGCTGGATGATGATGATGATGATGATTATTATTATTATTTCTGTTCTGCTTTATCTCTCTTAAAAAGATACTGAAAGTGGCTAACAGGAGAAGCAATATAATATATAATTTAAAACTTAACAAAGATACAAACATTAATAGCATCAAAATATCAAAAGACATAGTGAAAACCAATAAAACCATTAAACAAGTCTATTGAAATACATGAAACACAGCAGCCCCTGGTGTGGTGTTAAAAGCCTGCTTGAATAAAAAGGTTTTAGCCTGCCACCGGAAAGGTGGCACTAAGGGAGCCATTATGACTTCCTTAGGCAAGGAGTTCCTCTGTGGAAAGGACAAGGGTTTCTGATTGAACTTGATGGGGAGTATGATGTATTGCTGTCACATCCATAGCTATGCTCATTTTCCCAGCAAGAACCCTATTCTCCTTGACATCATTGTACTTATAGATACTTGAAATAGGTTTTCTTGGAGCTGTGCTTCCTCCAATACACAGCCCCTCCACACGCCACCATGGTGTGAAAGGCCGGACATATGGGCAGGTCTGCTAGCTTAAGCCAGGAGTTAGCATCCATGTCGTATTTCCATGCTGTCTTCAGGACAGACATGATCTCTGTTGTTCCTTATTACTTACTTACTTAGGTGATCCCTCGTTGTCCGAGTAAGATTATCCTCCAAGTGCGGTGTCCTGGCGGTGGGTACGTAGTTGACTGTGGAGCCCTATTGTTGACCTGTATGTTCTCCCGCAGTGAGGGCATCGGTTTCCATGGGGAATGCGGTCCTGGTCGGGGTTGGCTTGACACGCAATCCTCTTGGCACGTTTCTCTCTTACGCCCTCCGTTCGTTACTCTTTGAATTCCACAGCACTGCTGGTCACAGCTGACCTCCAGTTAGAGCGCTCAAGGGCCAGTGTATACTGTGCACCTCAAGCTACTGGCTTGAAAAGACAGCCTGCCTTTCACATTTGCAGATTAGACTTTTTCAGAGTCCATTATACATTAAATATTGCTAGAGATCCCTAAGTCCACCAGTGCAACTTTATAGTCAGTTTCCGGCCACAGAGGACTGAATGATTCCCTAAGCGGCACTCTCTTGGGTTACATTCTTTGTTTTGGAGGGATCATGTACTCTTGACCCCAGCGAATTTGGAAGGTACAGTGTACACTTGAGTTCTGCATTGAAAATGATGCCACATAATGGAAGATGTTATTATAAATATATATTATTTGATTGGGATGCTCAGTTTCATTCCCTACTCCAATTGTACCCAGCGTAGTGATTCAGGTCATCCAACCCTGGTTATACTATTACATCCACATTCTTGATAAAGAGAAAAAGGAAGCAACGTCAATCTGTGGTCCAGCCATTCTTTATTTTAGAACCTCAGAGTGTTTCTGTTTTCCCAAATTAATTGACAACTGTTCTCTGGAGCACCTTACATGGTAACTTAGCTGTACAACAAGCAGGGCAATCCAGAGCTTCTGGAGGTGGAGCCAAAACCCTCCATTCTCCTGTGCTTTGATCTAACATATATGCTTGCCGATTGATGGAATGTCCTTTGGGATGCTGGTCATCTGGCCATACGAGACCCCCACACACAAAGACTTTGTTATTCCCAACTGAGCACACCGCGTGCGAGAGATCCAAGTGATAGTTATTTGGTAAGAGAGGCATTAGTTTTGTGGACTTGTTCATTGTAATATTCTGGAGGTTTATTTCCACACTCTCTTTGTGGCTCTGAACACTCAAGATGTTCTCCTGAGGAAAAGACAACAGGGGTTTATAGTTGAACTGAATGGGGAACGTGATGTATTGCACCACACTCCGAGCTTCTGTGTCGAAGCAGTCCAGCACACCCACTCGGGCGATGCGTCCATTCACTAGACACCTGCCAGTCACAATATAAATTGTCCTGTCCCCCTTGGTGATTAGAGCCGTTGCATCCATAGGTATGCTCATTTTCCCAGCAAGAACCCAATTCTCCTTGACATCATTGTACTTATAGATACTTGAAATATGTTTTCTTGGAGCTGTGCTTCCTCCGATGGAATACACAGCCCCTCCACAAGCCACCATGGTGTGGAAGGCCAAACCTATGGGCAGGTCTGGGAGTTTAAGCCAGGAGTTAGCATCCATGTCGTATTTCCATGCTGTCTTCAGGCCAGACATGATCTCTGTTGTTCCTCCAGACACATAAATATATTTCCCCAGTGAAGTGGCACTAAGAGCTGAAGCTTTGTAAGGCATCTCCGTCAGCTTCAGCCAGATGTTCTCTCCAAGGATGTAGGCAAAGACCCCACTGCTAAAATCCCCTTGTTGATTTTGCCCTCCTAAAATCACCACAGAGTCCATTCGTGCCCCCTTCCTCTGGTTCAGCATCAGACTTTGGGGCTTGCCTTGTTTACGCTCACTCAAGATGCCTTCTATTCGGGCCAATGGGCCACTATGGTCAGTAAATTGCAACACTTCACGGCAGGCAACAAGCAGCATCTTGGTGGAAACGGCAGATAAATATAAATAATCAAAATACTTTGTAAACAATTTCTCTCTTTCAGGCTTTTCATATTTGACCCACTCAAGGAGAGCCAGAAAGATCTGGTCCTCATTTTGCACATGAAGGTTTTCATCCTCAAGGAGCTTGCTAAAGATGGAAGAGGGGCAATTCATCAATTCTCTTCTGCCCTGTGGTCCAGCCCAATAATCGAAATTGTCTCGGATGCTGTCATAGGCCGAATTTCCTACCTCTCTCAGATCATACATAGTGGCCAAGAGAAGGTACTGAAAGCAGTTGTTCTTGTTGAGAGAACTCTGGAGGAAGTCAGAGCAGTGGTTTTTCAGAGTCTGAGAATTGAAATGCTTGGCTCCCTTCAGAATGTCTTCCACGTTCTTTTCTGAAATCATGATGCTCCCTGTATAAAAGTAATTGAGCAACTCCTCCACCAAGGCAGAGCTCAAGCACTTGCAGTCAATGTAAATTAAGAATTCATCCGTTTTCGTATTCTCGCTGGATATCAGATCCCTTACTTGAGAAGACACCACTGCTAAGACATTGCGGTGAGCATAAAAGTCATTCTCGTCCACTCTGAGGACTACATCACAAAACTCCTTGTTCTTTCTTTGCCTGTCAAGGGCCTGCATCATAAAACTGTTGTGATTCTTTTCTGTGAATTTTATCCTCATTTTTGGCACCAAGCTGACCTGGGATGAATGCAGCTGACACAAACCTAGAGGTCTTCTTCCCCAGGGACTGGAAATTCCACTCTGGGCAAAGTGGAATCACATCAGCAGTTATACTCGCCAGGTCACAATTAACTATGACACGCATTGAAAACAGTCTTTTCAGCTTAACTGTTTTGTACTGATAGAATTCCTGTGGCTAGAAGGAGTTACAGGTGGAGTACCTCTATCAGAAACGTTTGAGGCAAAAGTGTTTGGGTTATTTATTTATTCACTAGCTATCCTCTGCCACGTGTTGGTGGCCCAGTCTCGTGATCTGGAAAAAAAGTAATGAGAAAGTGTTGGTTTCTAATATATGTAATTTCTTTATGCTTGTGGGTAAACAGTATTTCTTCTTGTTTCTTTCTCAGTGTTGATGTGGAGATTATCTGGTTTGCCTACTCTGGAACATGCAACATCTAATTGCCTTTCTTTAGGGGTCCCTTTCAAAATTATGATACTTTATCTCTGTGTGTGTGTGAATCATATATATCTATATCTATGGCTGGATGGCTCTTTGTCAGGAGGGCTTTGATTACGTTTTCTTGCCCTGGTGAAGGGAGTTGGACTCGATGGCCTTAAGTATTTTCGTGTTTGCCGGCATGTCTGCATGGGGTGCCCTTTTACCTTCCCGCCGAGGTGGTATCTATTTATTTACTCGCATTGCATGCTAGGTTGTCAGAAGTTAGGGATAACAGCGGGAGCTCACCTCGACTCATGGCTTTGACTTGCTAACCCTCTGGTCAGCAGATTTCCTGCAGCTAGTAGTTTAACCTGCTGTGCTATCACGGCCCTGTAAAAACTGTTGTTAACAATAGCAGTGACAACATCCTAAATCCTTGGGTCAACTTTGGTTTCTGGCCTAATTCCTGCAGTCACATATTTTTAATTGGGTGTATACACATTTTGAACTACGATTCTAGTAAAAAAAATCAAAGTAAACTACAAAAAAATTAATTAATTGGGGACTCATCAAACAGGCAGGAGGAAAGCAGGGGAAAGCAGATGGAATCATCTTACTTCATTTCCTTAGTCTTTCCCCGTCTTCTGGGATGCTTGATCATCCATGTCATTTCCTGTCATTTCACGTGGGTTTTCTGCTTCCCTGTTTTCTGCAGTTGGGAGTCAGGTAACACCTGAGAAAAGATGGAGTCTGGTGAGGTCCTAAGTGTCTTAAGTAGAAATAGTATCAGTGTTTGCTTCCAGAATTAGTGCTTTGAATTAACTACAAATGTAGGGAGGTTTGAGCAAAAGACCAACCTTAGATGCCTCCTGCAAAGTAAACCAAGGTAGTGAAGTTGGATCTACACTGCCATATAACCCAGTTTCTGAATCCAGATTATCCACTTTGAACTGGATTATATGCATCCATATTGCCATATAATCCAGTTCAAAGCAAATAGTCGGGTTTCAGAAATTGGATTATATGGCAGTGTAGATGGGGCATGAGAGGATATTGCTGCTCATGGGCTCCAACAGATATAAACTACTCTTCAGAAATATATATATATATATTCCTAGTTAGCTCACTGATTCTTCAGAGACAGCCAAATGAGATCATATGTTGTGATCTCATCTGTTAAAGGAGTGGTTTTTCTTATTAAAGAATCATGGTGAAGGAGGACTAACTCTTTCTTCCTGTGCTGCAATGTTGATTCAAATCACTGGGCCTGAAAGGGAACCTTTGCTCAAAAGCAGCAGGATACAGAGAAGCTCCATTTCTAAAGATCTTAAAGTTCAGAAAGAGAGAAGAAATGGCCCTTCAAGCAGCCTGGGCCTCAGCTAGACATGACTTCGTAAGTCAAAACCAGCACTTTGAATTGTGTCCTGAAACAGACTGGCATCCAGTGGAGATATTTCAACAAAGAGTTATGTGCTCCCAAAGTATTGGGCAGCAGATGATAATTATTTATTATTATTTATTTATTTGCAGCATTTATATGCCACACTTCTCACCCCAAAGGGGACTCAGAGCGGCTTACAAGATATATTTTCATACATTATATTATTAGCATAGTACAATATCAGTATTATATATTACTATATTACACTATACCATTATATTGTGATATTATTAGTAATGGCCGTCGCTTCTTTAAGTATCCTGGCTACATCCTCGGGCTACAGAAGCTGAAAACTATTTATTAATATTGGACAAGCAACAGCAGGCTTATCTGCAAAACACTTCATCTATTTGGAACACCCTGTTTTGGCTTCTTCTCCTGTTCTCTTTGACCATATCTTCGTCTGCCCTGTATTACTAGAATGACTGCTCCGTGGGTCCTACCATGTCCCTCCCTTTTTGCACAAACTAATAATCAACAAACAATACCCTCCTTTCTACTAGTGAAAAACCATAAATGGGACTTTAGTCTCGCAGACAGACATTAGCAATCTTTTTCCTTTTCAGTCCACATGGGTGTAGTCCTGAATTGCAGAGATGAGGTAAGGAACACAGGTCGCCTTTGTAGCTTTGGTGATCAGAGAAGGATGTCAGGGAAGAATCAAAGATCTGACATGCCTTCTTTTTTACAGACACCAGCATTTTATAGACATTCAAAATAACAGACATTGTTCAGATCATGGAAATGACGATCTGTGGTCTCATTGGTTTGATGCACAGTCATTGTTGTCATATTTTACAGCCTGTGATTGGTGGGTATGTATGGCGAGAACTTCAGTAAAGTTTTTATTGGGTAACAACCTAAGTCTGTTGCTGTGTTTGAGTCTGCTGCCCCCTTCTGATTTCAGGTGCTTTCTGGAAAAGGAAATAGGTGTTGATTATTTATTATTATATTATTATTATTTCACATATTTGTATCCTGCTCCTCTCACCCTGAAAAAGGAGACTCAGGGCGGCCTTACAACAGGCAGTGATTTGATGCCAATACATATAAATATAAGAATAAGCAAATACAATTAAAAGCATACAATTAAACATTAATTATTAAAACATCAATTAAAATCACATGATCCAGATTGTAGTCCAAGGCCTGTCCAATTGTCAATTCCATTAGTTTGTTATCCCTATTGTAGTATTTACTGGTTGAATGCTTGGTCCCACAATCATGACTCCTGAAAGACAGGAGGGAGAGAGCTGACCTGATTTCACTGGGAAGGGAGTTCCATAGATGAGGGGGTACCACTGGGAAGGCCCTGTCTCTTGTTCCCACCAATCGCACTTGCGAAGGCAGTGGGATGAAGAGCAGGGCTTCTCCAGATTATCTTAACTTCATGGGTCATAGATACGTTCAGACAGGTAAGCTGGGCCAGAACTGTTTAGGGCTTTATAGACTAAAGCTAGCACTTTGAATTGTGCTCGGTAGCAGGCTGGCAGCCGGTGGAGCTGGCATAAAAGGGGGGTACTCTAGTGAGCAATCTGGTTGCCACCAGTTGGATAATTTGAAGCTTCTGAACAGTGTTCAAAGGCAACCCCACGTAGAGTGCATTGCAGTAATCTATTTGGGATGTAACCTTTGGGGACAAAGGTGGCAGTGATCAATATTGGGTTGAAATGGCCCTTAGGTGATGATATTCCCTAGTCCCCTTGACAAAATAATGGGGAGTGGGACTCCGGTGATGAGTTTTGGATTACTTGGGGAAAGATCTGTTATGCCTCAGTATAATCAACTTGCCAGCTGATTGATTATCTACATTTGAATCTGTGATTTAGCCTGGTGGCTTGGCTGATGAGAAAGTTCCTGTGCTTCTTTAGTGACGTGTGTCTATTGTACGTTAGTGAGAAGAAGGAAAGTCAGACAGGGCTTTGGGGCAAGGGGGTGTTTCCTGCTTCTGAAGTTGAATTATGCATCAGGAGGTCATTCATCTGAGCCCTGTTCTCGTTCTCCTAGCCAGATTCTTTGTGGTCTGGGTTTCAGTTAATATGGGGGCAAATCCCACCCTTGTGTTTCTCCAAAGGAGCTTCCTCAAAGGGACAAGCCCCTTTAGTATGGCTCGTCCAGAACTTTGTTTATATTCCCCATGCCCAGAAAAGTAATGTAGTCCAGATTTGGGGGGGGGGGGGGGGGGGGGGGGGGGGCGTTACTGCTGGGACTGCAAGCTCAAGCCTTTTCTTTTTGTGAAGATGTAGCACTCATGGATGGTTTCAGGAGGCTTGCTGGCAAGTAGAGAAGCAGCAAGTGAGCAAGCTTCCTCCTTTAGCTTCAAGGTGGTCCTCAAACTCTCTTCACCCATAGTGCTTTATAGCCCCAAGTCCCAGGAGCCGAACTATATTCCCTGGCCCAGAGAAGCAATACCCTAGCTGAGGGTGGATGGTTTTGTAATCAGATTGCAGTTGTCTTTGGCTCAACTAGCAAGTCCCAAATGTTGCCTTTCTAAATCCAAAGATATTTTGCGTCATCTTTCCATGTGGATTATGACATACACCCCAATGCAATGCATAATTCCTTAAGTAATACAATTCCTTATAGTACAAGGCCATGAGGAGAGGCAGGTAAGAAACAAAATTATTATTATTATTATTATTATTATTATTATTATTATTATTGAAATAGGTTTTCATTCCAATAAAGTGTCCACACATTGCAGTTTGTGTTTTTCCTCTCTTTGAATCCACCCATTTTTTCCTCCAGTCTCTTTAATAATAGGCAGTGTTTCGGTTTAATCCCTGTAGGCTAAACTAGAACACTGTAGGATGAGTGACTGTTCTAGAGGGTGACTCATCCTCCAGATGTTTTCATTTTTATGCTGCAGTAGTACAGCATTCACAATAGAACAGTTCCCCTTTAACAATAGGACAATAACATGTTTTTTTTAATCCATCTGCATTAAAGGGACAGAGAAGCAGCTAGCCAAACTATGAATGTTAGTATTTGAAATATGGGGTTTTTGTTTTGTAATACAGATCTGTTTTGGTTTTATTGCTCTTACTTGCTTATGCTAGGAATGACAAAAAAAAGAGACAAGACTCTTGTAAGATTAAATGGAGGAGAAAGGCTGACAAGCTGCAAACTCAACAG